GCTGGCATTAAGATAACTGAAAAATTTATTTGTAGTGAAATTGTCTCTAGAGGCCTCCACTACCCTAAAGTGTTTGCTGTCCTCTCCTTAGGCACATGCATCCGGCGTCACCCACAACCAAGAGACCTGAAAAGAAACAGGAACCCGCCAGTGGTGGGTGGGGACAGAAGCTGTGGGGCTGCCAAAGGGAGCTGGTAAAGGACAAGCAAACAATGAGAAGCAGAGCTGGTCTGAGCCCTCACCTACAGCCACCTTCACTGACTTCCACTCCCCATGAGAGTTTAGATTCCTCCATTTCCACATTGTCATAGATGCTTATGCACATTTTTTTTTTCCTTTTCCTGTGCTTCGCTCACAGTAGGTTATTTCTGCTGCCCCAGGAGAGTGGAAGGAAGCCCCAGCTGTTGTGTTTCCCCTCCATCTTACAGCCCCAACAGAACCCTGGCTGTGCCAGCTTGATTTGCACACTGGGGGTTCCCACTGCCATCCTGTATAGAGATATGGGGGGTTTAGGGTTCTTGCTTGTAACTCGCTCCACAACACTGAAATGTGTGCCTTCCTGTACAATCTATACCCACTTCTGTATTTAGAATACTTTAGCCCATGTATTGAATGTTTTTCTCACACACACACACAAATGTGTGTGTCTTGGTTTCGACACAGTTATGATCCAGCTTCACTAGTTTGCTCAATCTGCTTTGTGGCACTTCAGCAACCCAGAGCAACTGTAAAGCCTGCTTAATTGAGCAATTAAACTTTATGACCACTCTGAATCCCTGAAGCAGTAAAAAGCAGACGGAGTGCACTGGGAAATCTTGCCCATCATTTGGGAAAACTAAGGGAGCACAAACCTCCTCAAACCAGCCCTCACCCTGTGTGGAGACAGTGAGCATCACCTCAGGTCCAGCGGGGCTGCACTGGTAGCAGGGTGTCCAGAGGACAGGCATGTGCAGAGATTAGGCAGAGTTTACCTTTGCAAAAATGCAGGCATAGCCCTTCTTTAAAATGTGCTTTTCATTGTCTGTAATGGAAGTCCACTAAAGATAATGATGCTTGAGATGTAAAAATTGCACCCTGATCTCATCAAACTCTTGGACTATGCATGAACACAGAAGACCTGAATTTTGTGGTAATGTTTATAGGATCAAATCTTACTTTTCAGGAGCACTGCTGATGAAAAAAATTTTATCTTTCATTCTAGTGACCCATCTAGAAGAATAACTACTGCTAGCAGTCTCATCACCATTCTGTTAGTCTTTCTTGGAGAATGCTGCAATCATTATTTTCTATACAAAAACAACAGGAGTAGTCCAAGCACAGGAGGCAGGACCAGGAGCATTGCTGATGTATGTATATATGTGCTCTGAGTCTATTCCTGGCTCACTGGCTGACCTTGAACCAAAGTCCTAGATCTGAGCACTACCCCTTTGGCAAAGCCAAGGTCTGGGCTTGAAGCTTGCATTTTAGACCTACCCCTTCAAATGTTTTCTCTAACTGTTTGGTTGAAACAGTTCTTCCAGAGGCAGGGCGTTAAATATTCCAGGAAGGGGTTAAGTGGGTCTGGCTGTTTGATTCCCTCAGGAAATGGGAGCTACATTCTAGAGAAGGAAGAAACGTGGGCTGTGCATGACTCTGAACTTCTCACAGAAAGGCTCAAGATGAAATACATAGAGATTGTAACTGGAATATGAAGCTATTGCTAATATGTTTGTCAGCAAAAACTATCTCTAGGATGAAGAGCTTTTTATTCTTAAGCAGGAAGATTTAGTATAAGATTATGTAAGTAAAGCACCCACACAAAACCTGCTGTTTGTTTTTCTCATTCCATTCACATTAAAAAATACTCTATTATAAAAGACTTGCTTTGCACTTACTCTGAGTGCAAGTAGCTGGAAATGTCCCTTTTTAAATTTTGTGGCTGCTTAGTTACCACAGCTTCTTGCTATCCAAATAGACTCTCTCTGTCAGGGCTGCGAGATGGGGAGAGATAAACACAAGGAGCAATTGTGGCTTCCTGCCACCAGCCCTGCTCAGAAAGCAAGAAAGCAATAGCAGATGAACCGTTGCTGCGGCAGCGGTGGGAAGTCGTGGCCTCAAAGGAATAGGGGAGAAAAAAATCCAACCAAATATCCTGAGATCAGGATAAATTATGTTAAATATTGTGCTCTCTTCTAGTCTGACTTCACTTAGTCAATAGTTTTAAGGCAGCTGTTACTGTGCCAGGAAATAGTCCATGTAGATATGCTTAGAAAGTATTGGGTTTGAGGTATTGCAGTGGGATATTCTATATGCAAGACTTACTATGGTGGCAACCAAATTAAAAATGATGTGGTATAGTCATTTATCAGCTGTAATTGTTGCATGAGTTTTGCCTAAATGTTATTGTCAGGTGTTGAGTTTTGTTACCTGACCATGTATTTTCCTTGTTTGTTCAGTTTTGGAAACCATAAGTAGAAAGAAACAAAGAAAATCAGCTCATGGGAGAGAAAATGAGAGAAATGAGAAAAAATCCCATACAATAAAGTTGAAGGCCAGGAGCTCCAAAAAGAGGCAAGATCCAAAACATGAACAACTCTCAAGCAAACCAGCCTTTCCATTCCCTCTGGTGGGATGTGGAACAGGCAGTTTTGCCATCAGAAACTGCAGGACTCGTTTCTGCTGTTGTGGGGCTTCATAACAGGAGTTTAATCAGACACACTTTTGCAGAGCGGGGCAATAACAGCAGTCGTTTGTTGTTTCTCTAACTTTCAGCAGGGTTGCATGGGGTGCAGCTAACTGCTGCTAGCAGGAGCTAAGCCCAGCCGTGTTTCACACCAAAGGAAGGTTACACAATGCTGTGGGTGGCAGAGTGTTTCTGGGAGGCCCACTTTGCTGCAGACTTTGCTTGCATCACTTCCTGAAATAGAGATTGACTGATGTGATATATTCTTACTTTTATTCGTTTGGGGTTTTTTTTCCTGAAATTACACTTTATACTTGCATGCTGTTTGCAGAGTTGCCTTTTGTGAAGAAGAAATCATATGATATCTGCTCTTTTATGAAGAGCAGATCATAAAGGCTCAAATCAAGGTGCACTCCTTGATTTGATTTTAACATGAGATCTCCCTGATTCCTCCATTTTTTTTTCTCTGTTCTTCTGGCATCTCAGAATGGAAACTCTGCCAAAGCACTGAATAAAAAGGGAATTATATTCTCTGCAATATTTGTCATAATTTTAATTCACTTTAAAATTAATTCACTTTACTTTGGGCTGTCCTCAACTTGTGCTTTCTTAATGTGCTATAGATTTCAGAGTTGACAGTGGGTAACTGTGAGGAGCCAAGAGCTGGTCAACATGCAGCTAGGGTTTTAACTCTCAGGAAAGTGTAGGAGGTAGTTTAAAATTTAAGTTGTTTTGTTGTTTTTTTTTTTCCATGGGAAAAAGATACCTCTTCTATGTCCCTTGTGCATGGAAGAAATGTGAAAGAAGGGAGGTCTGGCAATTTCCTGCTTTCCTGCTTAGCAAACCCATGACAGCCACTGTCAGTGTCCTACCCTTTAGCCTACTATTTACCAGTCGCTGTGTATTTTTGATGAAATTATTAATAGAAGTGAATTTAAACATGATATATTGCACACTCAAATTCAGTCTCTACCAGAACTAGAGAGGAATGCGACTTGAGGAAATAGTGCATTTAATTTGTTTGGTGTTTCTGCATAACATTATTTAATGAAAAGCCATTTGTTTCATCAAATTAGTCTTGATTATGTTTTTCACTAATAATGTGGTCTAGGCAATTAGTTCAGCTCTGAGAATTAGAACTTATTCTTTCTTGTGCTACAACAGGAAAGGGTATGGGATGACAAAATAGGCATGGTTCATCACTCAAAATAGCTCATCAGCTGTGTGGTATCAGTGCTCTTAACCGTAACAAAATAAAAATATGCTCTTTTCATAATGGTTTCAATCAATATATTTAACTTCTTATTTTTAACTCATGTACAGCTAATGAAATATCTCAAAGTGCTATGTGCTATTTCCAACAATGGGAAACAACAACAAAAAAATAGCAATTAACTATTCCTCCCATATCAACTGCACTTGGATTGTCCTGTTTAATAGGCAGCATTGGACCTACATTCCATGATTTTATCTTACCTATTTTTCTTATCTCTTTTGAACTTTTAAGTTTAAAGTCTTCAGTTCAGTTAATTCTGCATTAAAAAAGGAATTAATATATTTGTTTCCAGTTTGTTCTCTACTGATTTCATTTAATTCATCACCCTTATTGTAAGAAATAATTCTATTCGCCTTTTTAATCCCAACCATGGGTTTATTTTGTAGGTCGCCGGCATATCTTTTTCACATGCATCTTTCAAATGTGAAAAAATTTGATCCTAATGCTGTTACTACACAGGAGCTGGCCAGTATCTGTTGCTCACTTCTAGGACATTCCTACCACTGCTTACAGTATTCACATTTGGATTGCAGTGGCACAGTCATACATTTTTATTTAATTTGGGTTTTGGTCATTGCAGGCATTTCTAGATGAATATCTGCTAGGTATTTTTTAGATTACGTTTAGAGATACATGCATCTCCCTGTGTCCTAAAGTGGACACCTGTCTTCCAGACATAGGTTTGTATTGCACACTGATGCCCAGGTCCCAAATCTTACACTGCCTCCTCTGAGGTGAGTATGCATTCAGAGGATGGAATAGTGACCTTCAGTTTAGGAAGTTTTGGGCAGCAAAAACCTGTTTGAACCAAGTTAACCTGCTCTGAGTCTTGTGCTCTTCTGCTTAATAGTGTGTCATTTTCACAAAGGCTGTGAGACATTGGAAAACATAGCTGGTAGGCTATGATATGTATTAATTAAGATTATAACTTTAAAATTAAATTATTTTGGCCTGTTATACCACCTTTGAGGCATAATATTGAAATGCTTAGTTTCACATAGTGAAAATTCCAGGTCTATAACAAGGCTTCCTAAGCTGCATTCTGTTGTTTAATGCTTGCAGTCCTCATTGACCCCTACTGGACTTACTGCCTATAAAATGAAACTCTAAATGAGCAGCACCTGGGAAGGTCAAAGAATGACTCTTTGAAAACCCTTGTTCAAATATGCCAAGAAGCAGGGAGAAGTTGCTGCAACAAGTAGCAGAGGAATTCGTAAGAGGTAAGGAAGAGTGGCTGTAGCCATATTAGGGCTGTGGAAAAGGCATGATTTTGCTTCTTCAGTATATTTTGTGTCTGAAAGATCTTGATTCTATGTTTTATCTTCTTTTGCAGATTAGATACCTGTTTACACTGAAAAGGGGTTTTGTTCCTACCTTAGCTCTTTTTCTATCATGCACAATAACTGCTGCTGAAGATAAACATAGATTTCTTGCTGCTGTGCTCTGTAATTGTTGATGAAATCTTTCTTTTTCCAATTAAAATGAAAAATCATGGGCCCATGGCAAATTCCCCATGCTTTAATAGAACTTTGCTGAGACAGTTGTGTTTGGTTTGTTGTGTTGTGCAGGGTGTGGTTACTCAATACCTCTCAGTTTAAGTGAAAGCTCCTTTTGTCCGGGAACAAGAGCTGCTGGAGTGCCAACACCCAGCACTGTGGTGTCCCACAGGAATAGGTGCCGAGCTGCTCAGCCCCCAGCTTTAAATCAAGACCTGATTTCAGCTCTGCTTTAAATCAAGACCTGTTGAAATAAGCACACCTCTCTGACATGCTTCATTGCTCTGCGATTTCTGAACAAAACCCTTATCAGCCTGTCACTTTGTCTTTTAAAAATGCTGTGTCTCTTTCCAGTAATGGAAAAATGGTTTTGTACAGCATCCGAGGAACATAATCTGCCTTATCTTTGATGAGAATGGTGCAAGTTTCATCTGCAAAGTGCTCCCAAAAATAAACAAGCAAAAATCTGAAAATATTTACTGCACATCCTCATACTGCACATCTACAGATGCAAACAGTTTATGGCATGTTAGAAACAACTTTCGTTTCCACTTGGTGTTGTGATGTCAGATATCTTCCTTTCATAAAAATACTGATGTCGTTTCTTTTTCATCCAATTAATCATTATGAAAAGTGTGCTTGTGCACTTAAAAATATTCACCCAAATTTTTCTGTTCTGGAGATGTCAGTCCATGTTTTGATTGTAATTCTTTTTCTGCCAGGAAAATGAAGAGCAGGAGATAAAACTACTACTTTGTCTTGTCTTTTAAACATCTTTTGTGGTTTTCTACCTTGCCGATGAAGAGAGAAAAATAATTTAGACATACTATCCACTACTTCCTGGATTGTATTTCATCTTTCCCTAGATCTGAACTATGCTTGTACAGTTTTGTTTACACCAATAGTTCAGTATTTTGTTAGCTATCATAATTTTTTATGTGTTTATTAAGCTTTTAAAGAAGTATGGATTACTCAAAAAGGCAGTGAAGCTAAATAAAGCTAATGCTAAAACACTATTATTTGTGGTTTAGAGATATATTTTAGATAGTGTGCATTTTGCAAAATCCCTGCATGTGAGGCTTTTTAAGAACACTCTCTGCTTCTTATAAAACAAATAAAATAGGACATGGAAATCTTAAGCATAATAATACTATGCTTATAAACAATTAAAAATATTCCCCCCTTTTTTGGTTATTGAGATTTTACTTAGAACGGTGAACATTTCATTTTGTTCCATACTTGCAGTTGTAGCTAAAATCCACAAATGAGTACAAGAAATTCTCTCTTGACTTCATTGCAGTAAGGATGAGATCCTTTAGTATTAAATTATTCTGCAGTTTTGGACAGAATCAAAATGTATCTACAAACAACTTCTTTAAAAGCTGTCTGCAGTTTTCATGTTTCCAGCAGGTTGCTCAATGACACTGCAAGACCCGAGAGTTGTGCTTACCTTTATCTGAGTATATTGTATCAGAGGTGAATTATATTTTTTTAAAAATAAAATACATTTTTTCTAACTTCTTCACATGCTAACATATTAGCGAGGAACAGTTTCAGCACAAAAAAAAAAAAAAAGCAAAAGATATGAAGGTTTTATTATTTCTGAATGCTTTTACATTTCTGCATTCAGAGGAAAGGAGTGGTAATGAAGTACTTTAACTACTTGGGAAAATAATACACAAGAATTAACTATTCAACAACTTTAGAGATCATGATGGGAACAGCCTGGGCTACTTCTGAAGTTTTGGAGTTCCCTATTTTCTGTAAAGAGAAAGAGTGTGTGAGGCTATAGATACTCAAAATAAGCAGATTTCACCAGCCTCAAATGGTGATAGGTAAAGTCAGAGGGAAACAAATGAGTTGTGAGACCAGAGGATGGGAGTGCAAGCTACTGCTGTGGAAGGCTCTGTTACCCACCTGGGTTCAGAATGAGAACACTAAAAACCCCAGCGTGGCTGCAGCAGCAAGGGAGACAAACACTGCTAGGGAGGGAGGAGCAGAAAGGCCGTGCCTGTAAGCAGTAACAGGAAATCCTTCTGTAATTGCACTAATGGTAAGAGGAAGGCTGAGAAGGCTTTGGTCTGCTGCATTGAGGGGAGGAAAGATCTAAACAGATGATGCTGAAAAGGTTAAACTGTTTAATGCCTTTTTGCTGGAGAACTCTCTGCAGAGGACATCTGTTACCATTTGCCTGGCACAAATCATGCAAGTGACAGAGGACTAGGGTAAAGAAAGCACAATCACTTAAGAAAGTAAAGTTTCCAAATCAGCTAGTGAGAATGTCTCCCAATAAATTTCTTTAGACACAATAAACTTAGATCTGCTATGGGGGATTACCTCATTTAAATGTAGCCAACTAAAAGTTTGGCACCCATTGCAAACCATTTTCTTTATTTTAAGGGTCCCTGACCCCTTCCCAGGGCTCCCCCCGTGCTGCCCACAAGCCAGGATGCTGTTTCAACCCCCTGGGACTACCAGTTCCTGCTCCTGTAACACTGCAGCCGGTCTCCAGGTCCAGCCCTGCCCTGCAGGAATACTTAAGATTAAAAATATATTACCATGTGGTCTCACTCTCTTTTCAGTAAATATGTGTAAATAAGGAAGGGAAATATCCAGTGACCCCTGTAACAATGCAGATTAAATCTGTTCTCTTGCATGCTCCTTTCCAAAATATCTGTATCTGCCACCTGTTCCCTCTACATCCTGACCTCCATGCAAAATGACTTCGTTTTTCTAGCATGTCATTTCAATAAACATATTTGCTCTGCACATATCTGCAATGCTTGTATAGCTCTTAGAAACTGCAAGTATTCTGCACATGACAGGTTACCTAAGGTGGCTTGGTGAAAGAGAAATATGGTCAGTAAGTGCTTAACATAACCCTTTCATCTCTCTTCTTACCAGCAACTTGTCTTTTTGCAGTTTTCTTTTACAGGGTGATTTGTAAGGTCCTTTTGAGTAGCTTACATTTTATCTCTGATTGGACATGAAATAACTCCACACACTGTACTGGAGGAAACATGTTGTTCTAATATCACAGGCACAGCTGCTTGGGCAGAGAGAATATTAACAATGAGGCATCCTGATAAACTAAGTAGATACCTGCAAAAAAAAGTTGCTACCTCATTAGAGATATTCTATCTTGCAGCACAGCTCTGTTTGAGAACCCATTTGGCTAGTGAAATATGAAATGAAAGGACAAACACCCAGATGATCTTTTTTAATCAGTTTAATTAAAAAGGAAGGTTAGTACTTACTTTCACTTCCTTTCCTTTTAATCAAGCAAGAAGTATAATGTAATTTGTGTACCACAGGCAGCCAAAATAGTAGGAAAAGCTCTGCTTCACAGTTTTATCAGCTTAATCTTTTTTCTTCTGAATGTCATTTGGCATTTGCACTCAGAACTCATATGGACAAAAATCTTTAGAAAAATATCCACTGCCAGATCTGCTGGCTGTGTCCTAGTTAAACTGTCTTTCCACTTTTAGCTTTGTATTGCCAATAAAAGATACCCAAACAACACTATTCATTGGTGGAAAGCTTGATTACAGGTGTGCCAATTGCTGTGGAAGTAAAGAGGAAACTGTAATTTTTTTGAGTTTTTTAATGGAAAAGTACCAATCCCTCATCAACATCCCTGCTGTTCTTGCTTAGCAAAGGTGACTGCAGTGGCAACTGTCGGTAGAAGAACCTCTGTAATCTCAGTTTTCTGTTAGCCCCAAGGCAGGGAAGAAGCTACTAGTACCAGTTCAGCTGCTTCCCAAGTTCTCTGAGTCTGCAGCTGAGTAAGAAGCACAAGCTGGAAGCATCGAGGATATTTATATTTCTTTAGCTCTTCTGAAAGGACTTCTCTTGCTTCCTTACCACGCTCATTTCATATGATTTTTGACTGGCAGTCTTTCCCAATTCAGCTTGTTGCTGCTTAAAATGTGTCTTTTCCAGATCCTCCTGCCCTGAAAAGAACTCAAAACAGTTAGCATTTTACTAACTTCTTCAAGTGTTTTTAAAAGTTATTTAATAGACAGACCTTCTCATTTAGGTAAATTTGAATCCCAAATGAAAATTAATGTGACAGTCTGTTTGCCTTTGAAACTGTCTCCAGCATGATGAATAGACAGCTCAAAGAAAGGGAGAGAGAATAAAGGAGAAAATGTGGCTACTTTACATCTTTGTTTACTAAGAGAAAAAAGAGAAAATTGGAAATTGCTAAAAGGAGAAATATGCTGTCTATAAGAAAACAGAATGGAACTGGAAGAAACCCCCATGTGGTACTGGTGTAGTTGCCCTACAAGGCCAATAGAGATGAGGTCCTTCCAGGCAAAACATGTGGGAACCAAAAGATGGAGCTGAACAGGAGGAATATCTCTGTGCAGCAAATAGTGGGTGGCAGCCTTTTAGGGATAAGAGCGGTGACGAGCAGGACCAAAGCAGATTATATCAAATTTCCTTAATTTTTAAGCAATTCATTATATATTTGGGTCGTTTTCTCCGTGGGTCCAGAAATTGTATGTGCTCCTATGAACTAAAAATTGCACATTTAATGAAGTGCCAGTGTGGCTTGCATAGCACCTTAAAGGAACAAAGTCTATGTACAAAAGAATACTCAGAGAGCCAAGGTATTCCATGAGGAAAAAGGAGCTTTGCCTGCTACATTACTTAAATACTGAATCATTTCCAGTATCATATGCCAGGTATTCATTCCAGTGCATGTAGGTTGTACCAGTATGATCTGATATATCAAGAGGCAAGCAGGTTACATCACTTATCTTGATCTTATCAGAACATAAAACGCATGTCTCTTTTCTTGTGTTCAGTGCATCATTTCCCAAAGTACTTTTCGTGTGTTTCCTTCCCAGATGGATTTTTATATTCATTGCCTACTAAATCCTCGATGCAATCTGCATGTCCCAAGCATAATTCCTTTAGTTCACTACCTGCTGCCTGATCATAATTGTTTAGCTGTTGTTCTAGTAGCCTGAAGGCTATTTCAGTCACAGAGAGAGCATTTTAATTGCCTAACTTGGGAGCCTGATGCTATTTGAGAAGCTCTGGAGTATCTAAGCCACCCATCCGAGCTGATAACACAAAATCTGTGGGAGACCTACACTGTTTTCATGTGGTGAGTAGAGAGATGCAGGACCTTTAGTTCATGTCAAGTGATGTTCATAAATATAGTGGAAGGTTCAGCTTGAATATAAACCAATATTCTCATGACAACATGTTAACTTTTCCTGGTGCTGCATATCTCATCTTGCAGTCTGTTCTAGCAATTAACAAGTAATTATGTTCTATCTCATCTCAAGTTCATATAAAGGAAACTAAAACACAGGAAGCTAGAATAATGTTCAGAATCACACTATTACAGTGATATTTAGACTTTAATTCATCTGCCAAGTTAGACATATGCATCTTTCAGTTTCTAAGCTTGGTTTTCAGTAGCCATAGAAACTGGAGAAGAGTGAAAATAGCATGACTTATTTCTTCTTTAGTTAACTGATCTTTAGAAGAATTCCTGAATCTGCAGTGCTGTATTATATTTAATCACAATTTTGTCCAATCTAATTTTATGTCAAAAACTGTATCTAACTAAAAACATTATCAGGTACCTGATATTTTAGCATCTGGTATCAAAACTTCAGGAAAGGTTCAGTGAGGTACAATTACTTTGTTTTATTACACTAAAACCCAAAAATTTCTTCCCGTAGTGACAGTCCACTCTATAAGTAGATGTTTTCCTATACTGTATTCCTACTTTTTAGTTCTGCCATTTATCACAGCTTGCTGCATACCCTGCTTGGCTCCTGCTGAGAATGATGTTTGCGGAAGAAACAGATGGTGAAGTACTGATGCTAGAAAAATACTTAGCTTGTCTAAGCTGTTCCTGTGGCCACTGAGGCTTATGGAAGTACTAGAACATATATAAAACCTTATGTAGTCTTCAAGCATGACATTTTTGCAAATGCTGATCATTATAAAAATACCTTATAATCACAGACTAAGCTGAGTTAGAAGAGATCCACAAGGATCATGGAGTCCAGCTCCTGACCCTGCACAGGACCATCCCCAAGAGTTACACCGTGTGCCTGACAGTATTGTCCAAACTCTTCTTGAACTCAGGCTGTGACCAGTTCTCTGGGGAGTCTGCTCCAGTGTCCAAC